GGCGGGGCTGTGTGCGTTGGTGTATGGGGAATGAGACCATCTATTTTGAAGGGGGACAGGAGGACGACTCAGCGCTGTCTGTCTGGGCACCAACATCATGGCACACACCACATGAGGGGTGATGGTGATTTGAGAGAGTGTGTACTTTTGAGAGTTTTTTCTCGCCCCTGTGTGTCTGTCTGCCTGCCTGCGGGTGTGTGTTTCTTGATCGGTGTGACTTGTCGACAGTTCAAAGGGCAGACTCCCAGTCGCACATTGATTGATTGAACCCCACATGTCTCACATCCCCACAATCACCCAAGCCACATACCACAGAGCTCTATCGACACCCACAATCCTATCGACATCAGATAGATCGACATCAACAGACTCACAGACATACAGATGTGTCACATGATGTCTCTATCAATCCCCCTCTATGTCCCCCGCCGTGTGCCACGATTGTCGAACAGACGGCAGGAAACGAAAGCAGACACGAGCAGCAACACTGCATGCCGAATGAGAGTGACCCCTATGGCATTGTCCACGCACACAGCACACACACACACAACACAGATATACACGCACGCACACGCATACACACACAGAGCGAGAGAGGCTGTGAGTGGCCGACCGATAATTACAGCCCGTCGACTCATTCACTTCTAAACTCATTGCAGACAGATCTTATAGACAGCTATGACGATACACTCACTCCATCGCCACTCAGAGCCGCGGCACACAGTCAGACAGTCAACGAGTGAAGAGCCCCCGGGCACACACACGAATGGGTGGCAGACATAGCCGCCCCCACGTGTGGGTGTGCACTCTCTTCTGCACTATGCTAATCAAACGCAGCTGAACGTAGCGGACAGATCCGGGTGGCAGTACGATCTGCCTCGTCTCCCCTTCTCGCATCGACAGCAATGCCTCACGCTCCCACTCAAGCCGATCAGACACACGAGCCACCAGCCCATGGAAATCGTAGGCTTTGCGCTGGCCACCAAATCCATCCCCCCAGCCAATGAGGTCGACCGTGACGCGGTCGCAGGGTGCGGGCGTTCTGCCGATGCCGGGCGTGACAATGCGATGCCGAGCACCCAACGGGGTCACAGTGAAGCCATCGCTGTCACTGCAAATGAAGGGAGCAAACATGGCAGACGGTGAGGTGTATTCTGTCCCTTCTCCTCTGTACCTGGCCCGCAGTCCTGTGTTGTTGCTGGTAGCTTGCTGCTGCTGTTGCGTGCCACTCGGCTGCGGTCTGCTGGCAGATGTCCTCACTGGCGTAGCGCTGCTCCTGTCAGACGGGCACAGAGGGAAGAGCCCCGGGGCACACACATCAATGGGTGACACTAACAACCATGTGTGTGTGCGTGTGTGGACTCTCTTACTCTATGCTGATCAACCGCAGCTGAACATGACTGACTCCGTCTGGCAGTATGATCTGCCTCGTCTCCCCTTCACGCATCGACAGCATCGCCCCACGCTCCCACCCATACAGATCAGACACACGACGCACCGCCCCACGGCAATGGTCGGCTTTGTCCAGGCCCTCGAATGCGTGACGCCACCAAATCCAGTCGTACTTGACGGTGTCGTTGGCTTTGGGCACTCTGCCGGTGCCCTCCTCCACCACCTCATATTGCTCACCAGATGGCAATGTGCCAGTCCGAAGGCGCGAAGGAGTTGGCCAATGCGGTGGCGACGGAGGGAGGCCGCCACCGCCATTGGCGAGACTGCCGATTGCGCACACACACACACACACAAAGCCAATAACCATTTGGTCCCTTCTCCGCTGCACCCACCTGGCCCGCTGTGCTGCAGTGGTGTTGGCGGCCGGCTGCTGTTGCTGCGTGCCGCTCGGCTGGGGTCCGCCGGCAGATGTCCTCACCGGCGCAGCCTTGCTCCTGTCAGACGGGCACAAAGGGAAGAGCCCCGGACCACAGATGAATGGGTGACACTAACAACCATGTGTGTGTATGTGTGTGGACTCTCTCTTACTCTATGCTGATCAACCGCAGCTTAACGTAGCGGACTCCGTCTGTGATGTGCCTCACCTCCCCCTCCATCATCGACAGCAACGCCTCACGCTCCCACCCATCCCGATGAGACACGCGATACACCAGCCCACGCCCATCGAATGCTTTGTCCCGGCCATCGAATCCATCAAACCACTGAATCCAGTCGACCTTGACGGTGTCGGTGCGTGTGGGCGTCCTGCCGGTGCCGAGCGCGACGACCTCATATTGCACGCCAGACGGCAATGTGCCAGTCCAGCGGCGCAAAGGAGTTGGCCAATGCGGTTGCGACGGAGGGAGGGCGCCACCGCCATTGGTGAGACTGCCGATGGCACACACACGCACACATAAAGGCAATGACGTGTGTGTGTGTGAGTGTGCACTCTTTCCTACTCTATGCTGATTAACCGCAGCTGAACATAGCGGACTCCGTCTGGCACTTTGATTTGTCTCATCTCCCCCTCCCTCATCGACAGCAATGCCTCGCGCTTCCACCCATACAGACCAGACAGACGACGGACCTTCCCACGTCTATCGAATGCTTTGTCCCGGCCGTCGAATCCGTCAAACCACCCGATCTCGTCGACCCAGACGGTGTCGAGGCGTGTGGGCGTCCTGCCGGTGCCCTCCTGCACCACCTCATATTGCACACCAGATGGCGATGTGCCAGTCCGAAGGCGCAAAGGGGCGGCGCCGCCATTGGCGAGACTGCCGATGGCAAACACACCCAGACAGACACAAAGCCAATGACTATCCTGCTTGAGGTGAGTGACGGAGAGGTGCTGCTCACATTTGCCTCGGCGGCTCTATGGCATTGATGTCGTTCGATAGCCGGACCGCCAAGGCATAGTCGTCCGCCTCCTGCCGCTGGCGAGCCGTGAGGGGTACGTGTTGGCCACTCGGAGGGACAGCAGGTGGCGCCGAGGGTGTGGGTATCGTGTTGCCGCATGCTGGCGCCGGTGCTGCCGCAGTGGCCGTCCGCAGCTGCTGCACGATGTCACGGAGGTCGTAGTTGACGTGCACATCCGACTGAGAGGTCTCGCGCCTGATCGACAGAAACGGCCACAGACACGTGGGCACAAAACCACCGATATTAGTGTGGCTTGGTCTGCGTACCTGCATGTCGGGCAGACGGCTATCCGACGACGGCTCTTGTCAAGGAGGCCCCGGACACACTGCAGACACACACACAGAGACGGACAGCAAGGTGCCACACGTGAGCCCCTCATTCCAGGAATGAGTGCTGTCTGTCTGTCTGTCTGTCTGTCTGTCTGTCGGTACCGCCGCGCAGAAGGAGTGACCTGACGGAGTGGCCGCAGGACACACACACCAAACCGATCACGAGTCATGCCGGTGATTCCCTCCCTCCCTCTGTCTGTCTGCCTGGGTGGGTGTGTTTCTCACTCACCGCATCGCAGCACCTGGGGCTGCCTGTGCCACTGGGCATCCTCGTGGTGGTAGTCCTCAAAACACACGCCACATTGTGGCAGAGCCGCAATTGCGCCACACACCACAGCATCGTTCATCAACAGAGTCAACACAATCAGACGAGTGCTGGAACAGGCGAGCGAAGAGAAGACTCAGTAGACAGGGCGCGTGTGTCTTCGCTGTCGCTTCGAGACAGCTCTCTCTTCTTCTCTCCTCATCCCTGTGCTCAATGCCTGATCCTCAGTGCAAAGAGGAAACAAAACAGCACAAAAGGCAATGCGCGGGCGGCGTCCCAAGGGCTGATATCATCCACGGGAGGGAATGGAAAACGGTGGATCGCTAACGACAGCTCGCGGTGAAGAAGGGAAGAGATCGGGGAAGAAGAAGGAACCCTTCCCTCCAGGTAAGGAGCTAAAGGTATTGATAACGCATGCCTTCACTGATACCAATCATCGCGTGTGGTGTTTGCTAATGACAGTTCCTTCAGGATTAGAGATGGGTGAGGACTCGGATGGCCGCAAGTACCCTTCTTGCCAGGCGCTCTGGGATGAGGAGATCGGTGGAGACCACGCAAAACACAAACAGTGGTATGCCAGGGCAGAGGAGTACTGGAAGGTACGAGGCACACAGGGGCAGAATTGTGGATGAATGTGAGACTCTTGCTTGTACAGACGCCTCTGCATCTGTGTGATGTGCATGCAGCAGCAGGCCATATCAGTCGATGGCGTGCTGGGAGGTGAGCACAGCCATTGACCTATCGTCAGCATGAGTGTGTGTGCAGGTTATGGCAACGTGTCGCCAACCGACCTGTCCGGCTCCCTCCGGTTCCTCGACAAGATCGGGAAGTTGCCTGCCGGCAGGGGAGGGCCGTGTGAGTGGGGCCGGGCACTCGACTGTGGGGCGGGCATCGGACGGGTGACGGAGGGGTGCCTGCTGCACCGCTTCAAACACGTCAGTGGGGAGAGCGTGAAGCGAAGAAAGAGCGGGAGGCGATGTCTGTGTGTGCGTGTGTGTGTGTGTGTGTGTGTTCAGGCTGACGTGGTTGAGCCGCGGGCTGAGTATGTTGAGAAGGCCAAGACGCTGCTCGACAGACAGCGGGTGGAGAGGTGAGCAGCATATGCCACATGCGCACATCTGTCTGTCTGATGTGTGTCTTGTGATGGGTGCGTATTGTGTGTGCAGGTTCGACTGTGAGGCGTTGCAGACGTTTGTGCCTGAGGCCGGCCGATATGACTGCATCTGGGTCCAGTGGGTCAGCCAGATGAGGCAACCACCACAACACAACACAATAAACACCCTCACACAGCCGACAGGACACACATGGCCACCATGATGTTTTGGTGTCAGGTGAGCCTGTACCTGACGGACGAGGACTTCGTGTCCTTCCTCCAGAGATGCAAAACAGCACTCAGACCACAGGCACGCACGCACACACACACGATCTGGATGTCTGTATCATGCGAATGGGCGTGTGTGTCCGAGTGTGTGTCTGAAATCAGGGTGTGGTGGTGCTGAAGGAGAATGTGGTGCTGGACGGCGGCTTCCACGTCGACAAAAGCGACAACTCCATCATGAGGTGAGGCTAAACACAGTCCACTCCCCACACTCACTGGTTGGATGCAGTTCGTTTCGCCGCTGTCTTTGTCGGTCCAACCAACAGGGCAGATTCGCACTATCGCGAGCTGTTCACCCGGGCGGGCATGAACCTGCTGCTCGACATGAGGCAGCCCAACTTTCCTAAGGTGAGTTGGTAAGTGACTGGCCAGATCGATCGATCGGTGTGTTTTCATTGCCTGGCTGTCTGTCGTGCAGCAATTGTATCCCGTGCTGATGTACTGCCTCCGATGAAATCAGGCCACCACACCTGTGTGGAGAGGACGGGCAGAGGGATTGGATGTCCACCTAGCTGTAGAGCTGCACGGCGCTGTATTCTGGCATGGTGGTGTGTATAGTCAAGTGAGTCAGTGAGTGAGTGAGTGGGTCAGTGCTGCACGCTTGCGGGCACGCAGTGTTGGCACGGACAAAGAACTCACGGGTGTCTCTCAACAGATGTGGGAGAATCCCATTATTTGAGACTGGGGGGCCGCCCTCCAAGCGCATGCATGCGATCCCCCTTGATCCCCTTCCCAGACAGATATCGATGGACACCAACAGAGCCCCTATTCCGCGATCTGAGGCGGATGCCGATGTTCTCTTGCGGCGGTGGAAGGGCCACATCCACTCTCTCAACAACGAATTCTCCCTTTGTCGGGCTGCCAGCGTCAAGACGTACGACACCTGCCGGACGCTTAGCCGATGTGTGCGGGTAGGCAGACACTGACACAGGGGCACCATGGGGTGGTCATCACGTCCACTCATTTGTGCCGCTTGCTTTCATGTGCAGGACCTTCAGAGGTGCAGTTATCCGTCTGTGGCGGCCCTTGCCACGTCGCCCTTCGTGCTGGCTTCCACTCAGAAGGCAGCGCCGCCACACACAAGAGATCTCTCCGCAAGGGTTCCGGGCAAAGACGGTCAACATCTGGGCATCGAAACAGTCACATCCGAGGCCGCGTGGCTGCTCATCGAGGCTGCGAGACATCGGAACAACCTGCAAGAGTGCCGAGAGAGATGGCGAGAGAATATCGCCCACGTGTTGGAGAGAACAAGGGAGCTGCAGCACATCGGTGCGAGGGGCAGCTTGGGAGCTTACATGAGACAACAGGAGAGAACCCTCGCGGAAGCAGCCAGCCTCCATGCACAGGACGTCATCCAGACGAAAGAGCGGACAAGCATGGCGGAGAGACACGCAGCACTTGAGCAGTCGGCAACGAAGCTGCAGAGGAGGGCTGAGGAGATGCAGCAGAGGATAGAGGCGAGACAGGCGCAAACGAGAGAGAACATGGAGGAGCTTGCAAGAGTGAGACAGGAGGCGGATGCGTTGCTGCATGAGATGACAACAGATTTGGGTGGGAGATGACCCACCATGTGTGTGTGTACGGGTGCGTGTGTGTGTCTTGTTTACATCTTCATCTGTGCGACTCAAGGCTCGAAAGCATACCACACACACTAGCACTTCCTCCCACGGTCATCATTCACTCACTCATTCATTCGATCCCTCCAAGCCTCCACCTTTTTTTGCTAATTCGTGTCCCTCTGCGTTCACACCAAACCGGTCGGTCGGTCGTTCAGTCAGACGAGACGACAGCCAGCGATCGGGCAGTGCACTCACACCCACTCTCACTCTCACTCATGGCATCAATCCACTCAGTCGATCCATTCGACAGACAGACCTTCAGACAGACAGACAGACAGGCAGGTATTGGATGGACGGGATGGGCTTCGTCGATCTACAGGTCGGTGAGGTACTTCCTGCCGAGCGCGCACGATCGGGGCCTGAGAGCACGAGACAGCGGCCTAACTCAGACACAAACGTCTCGCTATGTCCTTTCTCCTTCTGCCACGACGCACCCACCTGTATGTGCAGTAGGGCGGCGCGAGGGCGCATGTGGTGGGAGGAAGTGCGCATGCGGCAGGCGGGCAGATGGGGCTTGCCCAGGTGCAGCACTCGAGGATGTCCACGCCGACGAGTAGGGTGTCGTCGAGCTCCACCTCGTCACGCACCTTCTTGAAGTCGTGACGGTAGCCGCCGTACCCTGCACGACACACACATGCACACACACACACACACACAGAGAGAGACAGAGAGAGAGACAGCAAGTGATCTCGTGTGGAGTGTGAGGAGGGGGGGGGCAAGTACCGGTGAATGTGTATTCGATGGGGATGGTCCGCTTGCTGCCCACAAACAACTGGAACTTGAGTGTAACGCCCTTGTCGCACCTGACATGCCAACACACACACACACACACACAGGCGTCATTTCTGTCATGTCTCTCCCCCTCCCGAACGAGAGATCTCTCTCTCTCTCTCTCTCTCTCATGAATGTCTCTCTCTGTCTACCGGAACACGACGGTGCATGCCCGCGGCGGGGCGCCCGCTGCACCATTGGGATAGAAATCAAACTCAACCCTGAAATGTGACCAACAACGACACACAAACACACACGCAAAGACAAACACATCGACCCTCCCCATCGATCTCTCCCTCTCTCTCTCTCTCTCTCTCTTGTGTGCCTGACTGACTTGAAGAGTCCGAGTCGGGCACTTGAGAGGATAGGGCTGGTGATGGCGCTGTACATTGGGATGCTGCGGAGCTTGCGGGTCATGCCCGTGACGCGCCACTGGATGGTCTCCACGTACACACCGCCGCCCACGGGACCGATGCCCGACCAACACAGCGGCTTGCCCACACAGTCAACCGCATACTGACAAACACACAGACAGACAGACAGACAGACATAAGCAGGCAGACAGTCAGGTGTGTGCGCCGCTGTCTGTGTGTGTGTGTGTGTGTGACCGACCCTGAGCCGTCGGTTTTCGTGTCGGAGGCCGGTGTTGCTGTCGCTCAGGTCCGTGACCGTCTTGCGCAGCGTGTCCACCTCGTCGTTGAGCTTGCGGGCGCTGCTCGTCGCCTGGTCCTCGAGGGCGAGGGCGGTGCGGAAACGATTCGCCAGGCGGCTGTTCTCCGCCTCAAGCTCGTCAACCTGCATCCATCAGTGGGCGAGGAAGGCCAAACACACAACATGTCATGTCCCTCTCTCTGTTTGCTGCCCTCCCCCTCTGTGTGTTGCTCGACTTCGTCTTCGAGGATTTTGTTGTATCGTCGGAGTGACGTGTTCTCGTCGATGAGTTCGTAGCGGCTCTTGAGGTCGCTCTCGCGCTTGTCCAGCAGGTCGGACCTGAGCTGCACGATGTCCAGCAGCCGGTCGGACGGCGTGCGGTCACGGTAGGGATACCTCCTCAGCGGACAGGCCATGACGCTTCGAGGATAGGGGATGGCACGTCACTCAGAAAAAGTGGGCTGCTTGAAGAATGGAGGAGTGTTCGAGCAACGGAGGCCCTCCTGCTCTCCCGCCGAATTCTTCTGTGGGGGGCCGGTGGGGGCCGGCGAGCTTGCAGGATCGCATGCAGATGGCGGATCTCCCACAACCGACGCCTTTTCCGACGTCCCCACTATCTCCTCTTTATAATGTGTATGTGTCACTGGTTTTGCAATGCATTCACTCATCCATCGATTCGTTCCTTCCCTCCCGCGTCACAAATCACATACGACCAATCCCCCACCTGATGGACCACCCCATCTGTGTCAGTCATCCACTCAGTCAGTCAGTCAGTCGACTGTATACAGAGGTCAGCCATTGCAGCCACCTAGCAGTGAAGGCCAGAACACCTTACACATCCCAAACCCCGCACACCCACACACATGGGGACGGGCAGTATCGCTCCTTGCCACGGCCAAGCAATCTCAACCAGACAGTCAGGCAGACTCAATCGCTCACTCACAAAATGGCCACCAGCGTGTACTCAGCGTACATAGTGTTCGTTCCAAAATTTGGTCTCAGTCTGCCTGGGGCGATGACGCACCGCACCTCACCCACACGCATGTCCGTGAGGGCCTCCTGGACCCACTCATCCCACTCAGACACACGCCTCACATCCCCACGGTACTCGCCTATCTTGTCCTCTCCATCGAAGTCGTCATTCCACCTGATGCGGTCGACCTTGATCCGCTGGTTGCGTGTCGGTTTAGGTCCACTGCCCGGTCGCACCACTTGATGATAGGCGCCAGAGGGGTAGAGTCGAAAGAGCACATCACCGCTGGTGCCGTCTTTGCTGTCCGCTGTCTCGTCAACTGCTGCTGCTGCTGCTCCTGCTGCTGCGGGCGGTGAGGGTGGGCGGCTTCTCTCATGGCCGGCAGGGGGCGGCCTGAAAGGACACACCGACAATGTATTAGACGAGAAGAGTAGCAGAGAGGGGCAGCACCCACTCAGTGTTGTCTTTGTGCGCTCACCGGGCCCCATTGGAGACGCTGACTAACCGACATTCCCCAAAGGCGCCCTCATGGTCGTCGGCCGGCAGGACGGCTCGCCTCATCTCGCCCTCACGCATCGACAGCAACTCATCATCCACAAGCACAGAACTCTCCCACTCCCGAGCATCGAAGAAGGTGTCGTTACCATCGAAGGCATCCCGCCAGACAGTGAGGCCCAGTTTGACGGTTGAGTTGAGTGTAGGCACATTGCCGGTGCCCTCCCTGACGACCTCATAAGTTGCGCCAGCTGGGGGTGGACCTGGAAAGCCACCCTTGAACAACCCTCTCCCGACGCCGGCAGGAGGCGGCCTGAAAGACAGGGCTGCACCACACCCGTCGACCTGTGTGCTTCTGCGCTCACCGGGTCCCATCTAAGACGCTGACCAACCGAGCTTCCACAAAGACGCCCTCATTCCCGTTGACTGGTAGGAAGTATCGCCTCACCTCGCCCTCACGCATCGACAGCAACTCGTCACGGAATTCGTCACCAATATCAGCAATATCACTAATATCAGCAATATCCGGCACAGGAAACTCCGCCACACGGACATCGCACAAGGTGTGGTTGCCGTGGAAGGCATCCCGCCACACAGTAAGGCCCACTTTGACTGTCGAGTTCATTGTGGGCGCATTGCCAGTGCCCTGATGCACCACCTTGTAACGAAGTCGAGGGTCCAATGAATGTCCCACGAGGCCATCGTCAGTCGTGTCGTCACCTTTGCCGGCCGCCGCCCCTTCATCCGCTGTTGCCCTTGCTCCGGCCGCCGGTGGTGGCTGATCGCCGTCGGAGTCCTTCTCCTCTTGGCCTTTCTCGCTGCCGACAGCCGACCTGACAACCAACACCAAGTCGGGGTTGAAAGCAGACCTGGCTGTGTCTGTAGGTCGCTCACCGGTGCTGTTTGATGCAGAACTTGATGTGTGAGTGGAATGATGGCTCGATGGGCAACCGCTGGCCAGCCGCCTCCAACGCATAGCCACCCTTGCCGTCCTCATAAACGGCACAGCCATCCAACAGACCAACCGGTCCACTGCTCATAAGGGCAACGCACCGCCCTGCACAGACTCACAGACAAACAAACACACAAACACACACATCAATTCACGAGTGATGCTCACCCAACCGCGAGATCTGTCTGTGTGTGTTAGTGTTGGCTTACGTCCTCTGAGTCGGTTGATGCGTGACGTTGGCGGCGTCTGCGGCTGCAGTGGTGTGAGTGGTGGTCCTACGAACCCATCGACAGCCGCCCAGGGCACCAAGAGGACGGCAAACAGCCACACAGCCATCCCGCGACAGCCACGACACAAGTGCACGATTTGTCGCCCTCTCTCGGTTGTTGATGAATCGAATTCTTGCAGACCACAGGTGGGAGCTCTCCCTGCTCCTCTGACGGTGTGGACTTCGCTTTCTCGAGAAGGGAAGGCCTGCGATCGTCCTGCAGCCCGCAGCTGTCGTGAGCCAACAGACGAAAGAGCATCTCATAGGTCAGCTGATATCACGTGCAACCAAAACCTGACCGAGATCTGATGATCCCGTTCATATTTGCGTTTCCTCTCTGGTGCGTGTCCCTGGTGCGTGTCCCATCTGTCAGGATGGCATCGTCTGTGAGCAGCCTGGCTGGACGTGCGGTCGGTCTGTTTGAGGGCCGCAATGTCTGCACCGACGGCGGCGGGCTGTACATCTTGGTGCAGGAGATGGAGGGCGCTTCATCCGCAAGACGACGTCAACCTGGACCTACGGCAGCTGGCCAGCAGGTACGTGCACGCGCCGATACAACGATGAATGCCAGTGCAGAAGGATCTCTGTGTGTATGGCTGTTGGTCAGTGTGGGTGTGACCGATGGCAATGGTGCCACACTGCGGCGTCAGGAGGTCTCCTGGACACAGCCGGTGGCCAGGGCGGCGGTGATGGGTTCACACAGCTGCCGTCTGGAGGGCAGTTCAAGAGCGACATCATCGAGTGGCGTGACGGCGTCGACGGACAAGACACGATATCTGAGGGCTGTGGGCTGGAGGTGCGTGTGTCTGGTCTACGTCAGTGGGAGCGTGAGACCCTCGCTGACATGCGGTGGGCGAGGTGCGGTGGGTCATCGTGCCGCAGACACATCGTGCGGTCGACCGTGTGTGTCTGCTGTGTGTGCGTTAGTGGCGGTGAGGCACCCCACCCTCTAGCTGCTGTGTTGGTGTGGTGTGTGTGGATTTATGGTTGTCTTTCGGGACTTATCTCTCTGTGGATAATCGATCTTTATGGAGTGCATTCCTTCCTCCTGACTGACTGCATGATTGGCAAATTGCGCGACCGATGACCGTGACGTGTTCATTTTGCCGGTCGCCTGTGCATTTCTTCGTATTTCGGTGTTTGCGCCTTCCTGGGACTGGGCACCTAGGTGCCAATTACAGTAATGTCAAATTTAGTTGTCTGTCTGTGCGATAGTTTCGGTGATTGAAGTGGACACCTGCTTCTGGCATTGGCTTGACCGGAGATGAAGTGCACACAAAGGCTTACAGAAGGAATTGCCCACCCACACCGCAAAACCACACTAACACTCACGTGTCTCCGTTTTGAATCGGAGCCCACAACGATAGATACCAAAACCTGTCACAACACACATCTCTCAGCACCGTGGAGGACAGGGCGCGTTTCTTTACTCGTGAAGTGAGTGACAGACTACTTCCGGCAGGCAGGCAGGCAGGCAGGCAGACAGGCACACCAGGTAGGAACTCACACGCATGACGAACAAAGTAACGACAAAATGTCTCTGCACCGTGTTTGTGTGAAGTCAGTCAACGACGCCGGTGCCACGCACACAGCATAGACTTCCGTGCAGAAGAGATAGCAACAATTGACATAGAGCTCTCTTTTCGTGTGTGCACCTCAGGGACAGAACCACATGTAATGTCGACCACAAAGCGAACAATAATGTACACCGCACCAATGGCCTCTTGCCGCTTTAAACAAGACAGACCGAAGGACGTGCAGTGCAGTAGTACGAGCGCTAATCGTGCACATGACATTGTCAAGATCCCTCTCTCTCAGTCCACGCACACATCGTGTTCGCACACATGGCCTAGGGCGCCATGAGTCCCTTGGCCATCTGCTGCAGCGCATCAATGGGGCCCGGTTGGCCCATCACCGCCACTGCCGTCCTCGAGACGCGCAATGCGTCCCACGATGGCCTCAATGGTCTTCGTAAGGCCCTCTATTCGCTCGCCCATCTGCTCTTTCTCATCGATGAGGTCCTGAATGACGGCCATCTGCGTGAAGACCAGCTGTGTGAGGTCGATGGTCATCTGTTCGTCAGCCTCATTGTCCTCTCCCTCTGCCTCTTCAGGGGCCTCCGTCGCTTCACTGCGTCTCCGCTCTCCGTCAATCTCATGTTTAGCGAATGTGCGCACAGCCGATGGGAGGAGTCGCCGAACTTCATCAGCGACCAGGCCCAGCCGAGCGTCTTGATAAGAGTGCACGGGCAGCTGCCGGAAGGCATCGACGTAAGCAGCCGACCGCTGGCCCTCGCCCCACTCGGCTGTCTGGCTGTCAGCCGTGGGCAGGTCACTGCTCTGCACCTCGACAGCCTCACCAGCAATCACACGCCGGCTGAACGTTTCGTCGCCGCAACGGCAGACCCCTGCTGTCAAACCAGAATTCGCGCGAAATTCTGAGGGGGAACCACAGTAATCTCAAGCGGCGCAATCAGAAAGGAGGCTCACTTCCCGCAGCTTACCACGGGCGGTCACAACGCCATTCGTAAATATGTCTCCTGCCCTCACTTCATATCGCCATCCGGGATATCGCGTATCAGCATCACCGAGGATTATGCCTGAACACACAGGTGGCAGCGCAGTGAGTTCAACAAGCGCAAGACATGGACAACAGATTTTTCTGCTGATGCTTACGGTCGGCGAACAGTGCATCCCCAGCTGTGAGATTTCTCGTGGCAAAGACGTTCTCGATGGCAATGACGTCCTTGAAGGCAACGACGTTCTCACTGGCAGTAACGCCTCTTTCGACAAACACGAAGCCCGCTGCGAACACAGTGCCGTCGTTCGAGCTGTCTTCAAGGTCAACATTGTCGAGTATAGTAGGGTTGCCTGTAATTATATTCCTGCCACGCACTGTACCGAAGGCCTCTACATCACGAAAAGCAATGACATCTTCCAAGGCATAGACGTCATCGGGGGCAGTGACGTCGTCGTCGGAGTAGATACTGCCCTTGGCAAAAACGGCTCGATCGGCAAACACGGAGCCCGCTGCGTACAGATTGCCGTCGTAATAATTGTCCGGGTCGTATCCAGTAGGGTTGCCCGCAATTATGCCTGAGGCGACCATAAAGAAATGCAAGAACGGTGCCAAAAATGCGGACTGAATGAGCTATTCGTGCTGTGACTCACGGGGGCAGCTGCCCGGGACATCCGGTTCGCAGTCTGCGTGTCCGCAGGGGATGAGGTGAGCCACCGTGAGGGCCAGGCAGAGGACAACCACACGAGAGAAGCGCGTGAAGGCCATGGGGCACTCGCCTCCGGAAGCTGATTTGCCTCATACAGTGTAGGTTCCAACGGTCTGTAAACACGGAGGTCAGGGAAAACGAGGAACAAGAGCCGAGAGGGCCCGGCAGGCGCGGGCGGTCCACATCGCGAAGGCGCTGGCGGTGGGTGCGGCTGAAATGGAGTCGGTGAGCGTCGGGTCGTGGAGTGGCGGCGGTGATGGAGGGTTGAGACGTACTGGCCCGGCGGAGGAGGGCGGAGTATCCGCGGAGCCTCGGGCAGCCCTTCAGACGCATCAGCCTTTCTCAAGGAAGGCGGCCGACAGCGAGTGGGCACCTGAGATCTACATCTGGGACGGCTCTTCTCGTGGGGTGTATGTGTCAGTGATTCGCCAGGGGACCTTGTAGAACGTCGCCTGCCGCCCGTCGGCCCTGCCCGACCCTGGAGGAATCGTCGGAGTGTCAGTCACAAGCCAGGACGCACCATCACTCCCTCTGGACGGTTCATCATGGCCGAGAAGTCCCCCGGCCCCTACGTCGCTCTCAGGAGCAGTCCGTGCGCATCCTTCGACCCGCCCCCCTCCCCGTTGTCGGACAGTTACCGCAAGCGCAAGCAGCCGGCCAACGTGTCCGCACCAGCAGCACCGCCGCCGCCAATCGGATCACAATGGGACGAAACGTGGCAAGAAGAGCAACAAACGCGGCCACGAGCAACAAGAAGAGCAGTGTGTCTGAGGCGATCGATGAAGCTGATGAGCCGTCGGTGCAGGTCAGGACGGTCTCATTGATGTGTCGGCATCTCCCTCCCTCCCATCCGAGAGACGCCGGCGAGCCCTGCTGCCCTTCTCACGGGCACGCACAGCAGACACGGCACACGGGAGATCTGTGCAGACTTCGACGTGCAGGCACTGCACACGAAAAACGATCGAGTGTCTCTCTCTCTTCTTCAACTTGAATTAATTTGTCGCTGTATATGTACATTCTTCATGAGTGCGTGTGATATACATCAGCAGCTCACTTGGCAGGTGCCTTCCCGCGAAAACGAGGGAATCGGATTGAATCTCATGGATACGAGTTGAGTGTAGTCTTGTGGTCTGGACCTGCTCACACTGCTCACGCTGCTCACGCTGACGATTCTTGTGTGTGAGAGTGTGTGTGTGTGTGTTTCCTTTGTCCGCGAGTCCTCCTCACGTGTGTGGTTGGGTGTGCGCCGTGGCCTGCATGCCGACCTCTGTGTTGCGTGTATGGATGGCTGGATTGCTTTTATGTGCGTGTGCCTCCACTGTGCGGCGTGTGTAACGCAGAATGAACAGGGTATATGCCACACACGCCCACACATACATAAATGGAAGACACATGCACACCAATCAATGTGTCTTATGTCCATATCCATTCAGTCAATCGGACGCAACAGCCACAGCCGGTCTATCAGATTGCACTCCTGCGGACATTTTCACAGACGCACGATTACCCTTATCACCCTCATCAGACGGCTGCCCACCCTCAGCCCCTCTTCGCATCGCCCGCACGGCCATTGCAATCAACGCAGTGAAGGACAGCTGAAACAGCTGCACACACACACACACACAGACACACACAGATGCATCGGGGCCGCTCTCCTCTTTCACAAACTGACCTGTTTGGCCGTTCTCTGCAGGGCCTTCGCCGTGTCGTGTGTCAGGTCCTCCATCCACCAGTCTAAGTCGAGCCCACTCTCGGGCGGCAGCACAAAGCGCCACGGCGGCAGTGCACTGAAGTGCTCCTCACACAGCTCACACGCCGCACGCACACTCGACTCGATATTCTTGAACACGCCGTTGACTGCACACACACAGACACACACACACACACAGACACTGCCTGATGGGCCTGGGGGGTCGGTGTGTCGCTGACCGATGTGTCCTGTGAAGAACAGTCTGCCGTCGGCCATTCCCTGCATGTGGCGCAGCATGTCTTGGCGGTGCTTGGTGTAGGCGCAGTCAGCCAGCAGCCATGGGTAGTCCTGCACACACACACACACACACACACACACAGATTACCACAAACGCGCCATGAGGACACACAGGAGGTCTCTTCTCTGTGGGCAGTCACTGACCTGTGAGTTGAGTGGGTGCAGTTTGCCCGTGTGGTTGTAGGAAGGGTCCAGAATCACAGCCCCACTGCCGTCGGAGGACACCGGCACCGCCACACTCAGCAATGACGCCGGCAGCCTCTCGGGGCTCACCTGCGCCACACACAACGAACAAACACACCACTGCCGCATGGCCGATGGTGGGGGGGATGCCCTCTCACCTCAGTGATGTCGTAGATGGAGTAGAAGTGCCAGTCATCAGCACTCTCCGACTCCCGGGGGAACTGCCGGCTCTCTGGCGGAAATCCACCACCCTTGTCGAATGACATCTGTGAGCGGGGGATGATCTGCACGCGCACCGTCTCAGAGGTGAGGCTCTCGAGCCACTCGGACACCCGCGACAGCTCCTTCTGCTCAGCCGGTTGCTGCTGCTGGGAGTGGGTGTGGGTGTGGGTGTGTCGGAGCATCATGGCGATCTCTGTTGGCGGCGCTGAGAAGATGACCTTGTCGAACACATGAGTGTCGCCCCGCTGATCCGTCAGCTGCACTGTGTCGTCGGCCTGCACACACACATGGCCATGAAGGGAGGCACACGCACATCGATGCATTCATCCTATGTGCTGTGGTGTGTGGCTGACGGACTTGCTTACCGTCAACTGTGCCCGGACGATCTGCGTGTGGCATCTGATCGCATGGACAGGCTCCAACAGCTTTGCCAGCAGCTGAACACACACACTCACGCGGACGCAACAACCCAAGAGCCATCCATCCATCCATCCATTCATGTGTTTGACTGACCTTCCGTCTGTCGATGCAGTGGTACTGCAGCCAGCTGAGCGGCCGATCGGCAGTCCACATCGGATCCGATGACGCCCTGGCGACCGTCTCATCGGCATGGGGGTGGCCCCTCTTCCTCTCCCCCAGCTTGGCGAGGGACTCCTTGCGGATCGACGCGAACCACCCCTGCTCGAGGAACCATGACGGGTACTCAAACTGACACCCACGCACACAGAGGGAGGGAGAGAGGCTATGCGTCAGTGTGGGCCCACATTGTGTGTCACCTGGAAAGCATCGCGAAAGATGAGCGAGAGGAACATGGATTGGTAGAGGTATGCCAGCGCCGCCTTAATCGACAGCCGCCGCAGCATCGCCGGCGCATGGTCGAACTCATAAGTCCGTATCGCCCAGTCCAGCAGATTCCGCAGCCGACGAGAGAAGGGGTGCTTCGCGAAGAACTCCTCATAAGTCATGTCCCTCTCCCTGTTCACCAGCAGGAAAAACCTCGCCACATCCAGCCACAGCAGCGGCTTGCGCAGCAGGCTGGCAGGGGGAACAAACTGCTGGCCAGAAGGATTGAGGATATGCACAAGGCGGAACAGCTGCGGCTCGGACGGGCTGGCGAGATGTCGGTTCGGCCCGATGCCGACGAGCCATTCGGTGACGTTGAAGTGCCGCAGGAGCATGTTGAGGTTGAGGAAGTTGCCGACGTGCACTGGCGAGCCAGCGTTGATCGGCAAGACGTGAGACGAAGCACTTGACGGCAGATGAGACTCCGACGTGATGCGGCCCTCTGGCACCTGACAGGCATGACAACCAAACACCACACCGCACCATCCTCAGGTGTGAGACGTCTGTGTGTGCTCTGTGCTCTGGCTTGCCTGTGGGTAATAGATGGCGCCTCCGGGATGGGGCCGCTTCTCGATGACCGTCACCTCGTAAGGCCGCTCAGTGGTGTTGCAGATGGACAGCAGCCACGCACAGCATGCGCCCGACAGCCCGCCACCCACAATGCCCACTCGCACAGGGGCCTGGACACCACCCTGTTGCTGCTGATGGTCTTGCTGCTGCTGCTGATGCCGCTGGACTTGTAATGGGCTAGTGCGTCGATGTTGTCGGTGGCGTCTTGAGATGAGGGCATGAGTTGGCCGCTGCAGCGGCCCTGTAGTGAAACACGGTGTTGCCTGGCGGTGAGTGCATTCGGCTGACCGAGGCAGAGGAAGGGGCAGGGGCAGAAGTACCGACGTGAGAAATAGCAGCAGCATCCTTGGTCTCATGTTGGGTGTCCATGATCAGGCAGGGCACTGCCAGCATGTTGATTCATCCTCGTTGCTTGATGCTGCTTCGGCGCACCGATTGATTCATCCATCTGAAAGACGTTTTGATTCATCCAACAGCCAGGCATCATGGGTGATGCATTTGATTGCCAATCATGCAGTGCCGCCCTTGCCTCATTGCGTCGACAAGTGAGTGGGCCCTCTAGCTATCAGCTTGAAACGCTTCTTGTGCATACTGCACGATAGATCTCAGCCTCTCCTTGCTCCAGGACGCCAGATCCATCCGCCGCGGATTCGGCTCTCCCGGTCTGCGAGCTTGGATTGGGGAGAGAGGGAGGGGAGGGAGGGGAGGGAGGGGAGGGAGGGCCCATCTTGTGGCAACAGCTGCAGTCTGTCAAGGCTCTTAGCTTCTGGCCTCTGGTCTGTCCTGCCTGCGAATTCGTTAACGCTTTTCGACCCCTATCTGCTTGCCGAACGTCGGCTCTGTGGACGTCGCTCTGTGGACGTGATGTGGCATCTTACCCGTTCGAGGAGCTCCCAACAGCCCTCGAGGGCAGCTGCCGCCGCACTCAGGTGGGTGGGTGGGTGTGCAAGAGGTAGGTGTGTGTGTGTGTAAGTCCTTGATCACTGGCTGGCTGGCTGTTGGTGTTGGTGTTGACATGCGCTGTGTGTCCGTCAGGCATCTGACTTGGTGTCACATGGCCCAGCCCCTGCTCGGAGGTTACCGCGAGACCTGGAAGGTCGAAGAGCTCCAAGCCGCCACATGTGAGTGAGGCAGACGTGCACCGAGCGGAGAAACAAAGTGGGCAGTGCATGGTGGTCGGCCGGCCAGTGGTTGGAAGATCTCTCTGTGTCCTGTGTTGCCTCCCTCAGGTGAAACAAGGATCCCTCGCTCCAGTCGAGAGGCCAGGGTGCGTGTCATCATGCGGTTGGGTGTGGTTGTCGGGCTGATGGCGCTGCTGATAGCCCCATCAGGAGCGGTTTCTGGCATGGCAGCACTCCTGAGCGTGGCGCACGACCGACAGTGGTTCATGGTATACGTCGGCCTCGCGACGGTTGTCGTGCCGGCCGTCGCCATGGTGCTGCTGTGTTCGGAGGTCGCGTACCCACCTCGCTGTCATCGAGAGGCCGGGGTCCGTGGCATTATCTTGCTGTGTGTGCTTGTCGGGCTGCTGCTGATAGTGGCAGGGAGCCTGGCAATGCTCATCGGCCATCTTGTATTTTACCATGATAAGTACACCAGGGCCTACGCTGATGTGCCCGCACTGGTACTGCTGTGTCTCGGCGGTCTGGCGTTTGTCGCGCTGGCCGTCGCTATGGTGCTGCTGTGTGTGGAGCTTGTGTGTGCCGGCTGGCTGAAGCGGGCTGTAAAAGCTGGAGGCTTCCTCGGCAGGCTGATACAGCTGTCCTACATGCATACATCGAAGACCCCGTGATCGATGTGTGGCGTAGGGTGTGTGTGTTGGGGGG